AATGCCTCTAAAGACGTCCCAGCCAGCAGCAAACCCTGCTTTTCAACCAAGTAGCCTCCACATCCAAGGTAAGAAGGAAGAATCTTCATCACTCATGTTAGCTGTTTGTCACTGCTCCTTGGCTTCAAATTAAGTGCTTTGAGGGCGGGCGCTGGTATTTTTACGACAACTTTCCTTTTGAAAGACCCTGGAAAGTAGCCTTCAGGACCCTGCCCTCAGAATTCCTTAAAATTCTTAGCTTAACTAATTGTTATTAATCTTACTATGGAGTTACAGATTTCTCTTCAGACCAATTTTCAGAGCTGTTGTTGAAATAGAACTGCAAATAATCCTGTGATGGCCTCTGCTTTTAATTTTCTGATGTAATGCTTCTAATCCCTCCCAACTTTGCATGTAAAGTGTTACCGGGTTTTCAGGAGGTGGAATATGTTTCTCCCTTGCACTTGAGGAGTGATGGAGACCTCTTCTTTTATTAGCATACATGTCTCTTGCAGTTGTTTTACCACTTGCGCTGTGTAAACAGCTTCTACAAAACTTCCCTCTCCCTCTTTGTTCAATCAAGTATAAACTTCTGTAGCAAAGAAGAAAATTAACAGCAGCTGAAAACAATGTTGGGTTGTTTTGTTGGGTTTTTTTCTAGCTGGTATGGAGTCTGAATGGTAATTACCTTAACATTTCAGAAATGTGTTGACAGCTGTATGCTGTTTCGACTGTTTAAATAGATGGTTTGCCATATTTACTTACATAAGGTACATAGCACACTGGACTTTTATAGAACTTGGGATTCTGCTTTTTGATCAGGCTTCTTGATAATTATCACAGTAGATATCATAGAAAACATCTTGAGAAAACCAAGGCTGCTTTTATTTTCTTCCACTAGTAGAAGCAGACTCTCTAGGCAAAGGAATGAGACAGGACACTGAGGCATCTCCCAGAAGTTATGAGTGTGAAGGGGAGAAAGGAAGGTGCCACTCCTATTTTGTTCTTCTTATCATACTAGACCACATGTGAGCAGGATTTGAGCCAGGTGCTTTTCTGCCAGGAACTGGTAATCCTGTACAGCACTGATGAGTACTAGAAGAACATGAAATTTACTAATGGCTATGAACTGGCTTTCTCTATTCTCTGTTTAAAGTTTCACTAATAATTTAGGGCCAGCAGAGTACAGGATGAAATTTAGTAATATACTGTTCATTGTCATGTGACATATGCAAAGACATGCCAGAACAGGTCCAATAAATTCCCAGCATATGGGGCATGAAGGGATCAGGTTAGCCTTCCTATTTCCACAGTACAATACATTTCAGTTTCCTTTTATGCTGAGTATTTGGCAAGAACTCATCTTCCACAAAGGCATCCAGACATTAAAGTCTGTCTTCCTGCCTGGAAGAAAAATTGTCTTTGAGTGCATAGATGGCTTTACCACCCTCTTCCTCTCATGGTCATGGGAGCTTCAGTAATTGTAGAAGCCAGAATCACAACCTGCTGCTTCAAAGTTGAGCAGTTTCCAAAGAAACCTGCCGGCCAGAGACTCACAGATCATCTTGGATTAGTTGCAGCTCCACACAAGAATTGCACTGTCAGCAATATATTTGCTAGCTAGCTCCATATCTGCTTGGGCATCTTCTCCTTAGGGCAGGCCAGAGTGATGCTACTGTGTTCCCATCTCCCGCCCTTACAGTCCAAAGAGGATTTTGAAAGGACAAAAGGCATGGGTCATTAAAAACATTATAGGAAGACAGCCCAGTAGAGACCTTCATCTGGGCAAATGTCACACATGGACTGAAGCCCCATTCATAGAATCATAGAGTCATAGAATCATAGAATAGTTTGGGTTGGAAGGGACCTTTAAAGGTGCTCTAGTGCAACCCCCCTGCAGTAAGCAGGGACATCATCAACTAGAGCAGGTTGCTTACAGCCCCATCCAACCTGACCTTGAAGAATGTTTCTAGGGATGGGGCATCTACCACGTCTCTGGGCAACCTGTGCCAGTGGTTCACCACCCTCATTGTGAAAAATCTCTTCTTTGTATCTAGTCTGAATCTGCCCTTTTCTAGTTTGAAACCATTATCCCTTGTCCTGTTGCAACAGGCCCTGCTGAAAAGTTTGTTCCTGTCTTTGTTATAAGGCCCCTTTAAGCACTGGAAAGCTGCAATAAGGTCTCCCCAGAACCTTCTCTTCTCCAGGCTGAACAACCCCAACTCTCTCAGACAGTCCTCACAGGTTCCATCCCTTTGACCATTTTGTTGGCCCTCCTCTGGAACCGCTCCAGCAGGTCCATGTCTTTGCTGTGCTGAGGGCTCCAGAGCTGGAGGCAGGACTCCAGGTGGGGTCTCACCAGAGCAGAGTAGAGGGGTAGAATCCCCTCCCTCGACCTGCTGGCCATGCTGCTTTGGATGCAGCCCAGGATATGGTTGGCTGCCTGGGCCAAGAGTGCACATTTCTGGCTCCTGTCCAGCTTTTCATCCACCAGTGCCCCCAAGATCTTCTCGGGAGGGCTGCTCTCAATCCCTTCATCCCCCAGCCTGTACTGATACGGGGACTTGCCCCAACCCAGGTGCAAGACCCTGCACTTGGCCTTGTTGAACCTCAGGAGGTTCTCACAGGTCCACTTCTCGAACCTTGCCCAGGTGACATTGTCCACATCCAAATTTAAGATAGAGCTTAATACTGTCTTTTGTGTGGATCGAAAAATGGATAACCTCAAGGGCTTGGACCTTTCTCTAGTCCCACGTTAGCATTACGGCGTTTACATCCCTGTCTTAGGAAAACCTATGTTGAAAATAGACATTGCTGACAGGAATTATATACACATAGATAGCAACTCAAAGTTGCAATTGTAAGGATCTCTGCACTTAAAACTGATAGAAGACAAATGTGGGCTGAACTCTAATTTTTTTTTTTTTTTAGTATTGAAAAATATAATACATTGCAATATAATAACCACATTTGGGTATTAAATGTTCTTTCATGGGTTAAGTAACCTCTTGTTGCTATAAGATGTATTTTCTCAGAATGTACTCCCTCCAACTTAAGCACAGCTGTCTCACTCCCATGTGCTACACTGAAAGCTTTGTTTGTCCTGTGTGCCTGAAAGGCTTGCCTAAACTCTCCCTCTCAAAAACAAATGTTTCAAGAGTTCATGGTCATCCTTTCCCACCAGCAATACAAAGATCACCATCTTCCTTGGTCACATCATTATAATGTAGAAAAACACCATGGAGTTATCTCACCAGCCTGGACTATTTGGTATATAAGAAGAGTCTGTGGGAAGCTCTGTTAGTTTCTAGTCTCTTGCAGTTCATAACCTGCCTTTTTATGATTTATACCCACTTCAGCTCAGTCTGCTACCAAAAAATGGTAACATTTTTGTCTCAATATGTAGTCTTAAACTTGTCAACTCCATTTAAATAGGTTGTGCTGAGGAGCTCATTGCCTGAGAGCTTTTTGAAGAAAACAAGTTCTAAACAGACTCCCTTACTGAAAGTCTGAGCATCTTAAAAGCTCATGGAGATCTCAGAGCACTATCCTTTAGAAAGAAATTATGTAGAAGATCCAAGACTGACAAGCCTTTTACATCTAATAGCTACTTGTATTGTGAAACTGCTTTTTCTGGGAAGAACATTGTCTACAGTTCAGATTTCATTATTTGTTCTGAGTGATTTTCAGCATCAGATACACACTAATGACAGAGAGGGCTTTTTATTGTCTTGGTTAATATTTTATAGTGACTAAATATTCTCTTTCCTTCTCTTGGAAGTTCACGATTTCCTTTGCTCCACGGGATGTTTGGAAGCAATGATGTTAGATGACTCACTGAGCTGCAGAAGTGAAGCTCTTCTTTTCCTTTCATCAGTTTGTAGTATCTTTATTGGATTACCATGGACAGTAAATCTGAAATTATCCTGAACCAGAGACTGGCATGACGACTTCCCAGCTTGTCACCATTGTACTATGTGTTTGTAGACAGAGTAGAAGAAAGTATAGGTCCTGGAAATCTGCAACAGTTGACCCAGATTTTCAGCCAAGAACTACAGGGATCTCAGCAGAGGTACCTGAAGACACAGGCATCTGCAGCACACAGGCATCTGCAAGAATAAGGTATTGCTCTGAGACAAGTCAGAAGAGATGCATGAGGTAGGAAAGAAAAGAGCAGCAATAGAAACCCCTCCTTCACAGTGAGCAAGTTTCTTGTGCTTATAGTATAGAGTGAGGTAAAGCTCCTCTGGACATGGACACAGCTGACGATTCTGGATGCTTCTGATACTGTGAACAGTTTTGTACTAGAAATCTGACCATCCTTTGAAATTGTGCCTGTAACTCGTGTCATATGTGTTTGTGAGCTGTGAGCTAGTGACCTATGACCAATGCTGGCCGAGTAATGGAAGAAATAAAAAAGTCATGCAAAATGTTCAGTTAAAAGAAAAAGTTTCCATTTCTTTAAAAAAATTGCTAGCTGATATGAGTTAGCTACACTGGTGTATCTATACAGGCAGCTCTACTAGTAACGGTTATCTTTTAATTACAAATAATCAGATTTAAATAAATACAAACTTTTCTAGTTTTGCACATTTGCAAGTCAGTCTGGCAGTACAATATGTGACTCTCTTTTCCTTTTGTTCTTCACATTCAGGTCGTACCAAATGATTATTTGAAGTTTGTGTAATTCACTTTGTGGACATTGTAGAAATATACTGCAGAGGAACACTATTTTGAAGTAGTTCAAGCTAAAGACAGCTCGAATTTTTACATGCCATAGCAGTAGAGACATCATGTTGTATATTTCTTAAAAGCAGTTATAATGATTTCCTTGAGAAAATATTCTCTCTTTGTGGTGCCAGGCAGAGAGCTGACTGAGGAGGAAATAAATGTCCATCAGAAACTTCCTACCTTATGGAAATGATAACTGTGGTAGTCATTCATTACATATCTGTAATGAAATCTTTGTCCACATCAGTTCAATGGGATCAGGACTCTGTCACAAACTCATGTGGACTATGATTTCAGCTGTGAATTTGAGACAGGCAGTGTATCTGGGATTTCCAGATGCTCAGCATCTCTCAGGATGAGACTGTGTATGTGATAAAGAACAAGAGCTTCTTGCTTTTTTAAGAGATTTTTGCAGTATACAGCTATTTTATCATATTTAAAAGTATTTTACTTTCCTCGGGAAATAATGCTATCATGCCAGAAAAATAACTGTATCTTGACGCCATGGATCTTGGCTATAGTGTACTGATTCAAAGAAACAGAATTGATACAACCTTGTGCGTGTGTGTGTTTTAAACAGCTTAATAAGAAAGCAACTGATAGAATCCACAGTTGCAGTCCTGAGAAGAAACATTCTGTTTCTGGAACTTCATTAGCCAACCGGTTCGCCTTTTTTATTTTTCCAGTGCTGCATGAAAACACAGAAAACTGATGCTACAGGTAGTTCTCTAACAGATAATCTTAAATGAGGGACCAGCTACGGTCAGGGTCTAGGGCCTGTTAGTCCTAGGGTCTAGGCCATGTTGTCCTACACTGAGCAGTAATGTAGGTTGTCTTGGGCATGGCACCATATGAATAAAGGGAAGAGGTCCTGATACCAAGTTAGGAGATTTTACTGTATCATGTTTGGGCTGTGGTTCAAAGACCTCTATACTGTGACCTGATGCACTGCAGACGTGGATGAAGACATTTAGAATAGTGCTAAATAACTGAGGGGAAGAGAACAATGTATGCTCTGTTCTGCTCTTTCCTGTTTATGGTTCTCCTTTTTAAGAGATGGATATTTATGACACTGAATCATGAAAAGAACATGTATCTAGGAAAGTTGAATTACCTTTTTGTGCTCTTTCCATCTTAAAAAATTATTTGGCGGTTTATCAGTTAATGAAAGTGCTTTGTGCACTTCCCTGGTTCTTTTTGCAATATAGCTGTTAATGTACCAATGGGTCAAAGCTTCTAAGACTTTGCTAGACACTATTCTTTTGCTTAAGTAGGGAATGAGCAAACACAGAGGCTATGACTCACAATAGCTTAACCCCAAGGTAAGCAATTCTTCTGCCAGGCTTCAGCTAGCAATAGTCAAAGTTACTGCCAGATTGTTCTGCATCAGGAACAGGATGCTGTGAGAAAGGCACAAAAAGAGAATGAGCACAGAGCAATGTGAAAGGACATTTCAGCATGTGTCTTGAAGGCTCTTGCCAGCTGGCTCAGACCACTATAGCTTGAAATGGTTCTTTCTGGTAACTAGTCAGACTCAATAGTAAACTTTCACAGTGTGTCCTATTGCTGGTTGAGAGAAAAATTTATTTTAAATGCATTTTTAAAGGACGAAAAAACTGTCAATACATATGTAGCTTCTAAGTCAAGTTTTGGATGGCTATTTTTTTTTCTCTCATTTTATCTTATTTTACTACAGTTGATTCTTAAATGTCAGGACTGAACATCTAAGATTGACAGGTTATAAATTCCAAACATGCTTTGTAGTCTGGCTCAGTTGTGTTGCAGTTAAACTTTAAAAAAAAAAAAAGATTGAAAGCATCATCTTAGAGCTAGTGCTCTAAGTGCCTGCAGCCTTTATAAAAGACAAAGGAATCTATGAGTGTTCAGCCTCTCTAGAGTGAGCACACAGTCTGCAAATTATGCCTGCTGTGGAAGAGGAAGTGTGCTTCTACTTTTTATTTTTCCTTCCCTTTTCTTTTCGCTTTGTTTTTCTCTTTGCTTTTCCCTTTTCTTTCCCTTCTTCTTTTAAATGAAGTCAAAATATTCTTTTTTTATGCAGGTTTTCAGACACAACACTGACAATTGTTTCAGTGTTCTTTCACATAATTATTTGTCTGATCTAAACTCTTGTTATGTATGTGTAAATTAGGCATTTATCTCATTGTGTGTACACAGAAATGTCTTGCAAGACTACTAAATAAAATGTGAAGACTAAGTTTTACTTACCATTGTTACCTAGACCTCCCCATAAGGTCTCTTCTGAGTTCCTGGGTGCAGGTTCAGACTGTCTTCTCCTGTCCATAGTCCTGGCCTATTCTGATGTTTTTAAATATTGAGTTTTCTGTTTCAATCCAAGCACATCTTATGCTTGCCAACATTTGTACTTTTCCTCACAGAGACCTCAGAAATTAGACTCAAAGGAAAAATAATTAGAATCTTAAAACCCCTAAATTGTGCATCCCTCCTCCCACTTGGCAGAAAATCAGTTATATCACATAAAGTGATACAGCATGTTTTCCACTGCATCCTTCTCCTTTCTCCATCCCTATTATTTATGAAATGCGTGATCTGTACATAAACACTCAGTGCAGCTTTAGCAAACAACAGTCCCATGTGCACACTTCCATAGGAAAGTTAATGGAAATACACCTAGCTCCTAGCTACGATCCAGAAAAAGTTGTCCAAGTGCCTTATGTTCATAATATGTTTCTAAGCATAGACTATCCCTGTAAAGGAATTTGAGGTTGGAAGGTTCGTTTGGGTTGGGGTGTGGAACTGCACCAATATAAAATTTTTATTTTTAAAATACTTTTTATTCATAAATCAAAACTAGATGCCCCATGTGAGGCATTTCTAATTACTAGTAATGAATGAATAGGCTAGTAGTTATGTTCAGGTGTCATATAATACCCAAGACATTTAGACGTGTCCCTCTCAAATATCAATAGCTTTTGATTCCATCTTTCATGCTTCTCATAAAAGGATCTTCTCTGCTTATAATCTCCTGTCCTCTGGGATATCTCCTTGATCCTTGAACTGTTAAATGGTACCCAAAGGCCTTTTGTCATATGCTGCTCACCCAAACATCCCATTACTTTTAGGGAGGGAAATGAGCTTTTAATCCTGCCGACTAATTTGCTTACTACTCATGGTTTGTTACTGCTCATGGACATCAGTAGATCCCAGGCATGAAAGCTGAATGTCTGGTATAAATATACTTCCCCAACTAGACAGCATGGATGTTCTGAGACTAATTCCTGAACACGTGGAAGGATTAATTTGTACTGGTTGTCCCCGTAACTATCCAGATTAGGAGTCCTTATTCCCTCCTAGTACTAAACGCTCTTTGAAGTCAAATCTGTGAACATTTATAATCACTGAAAGTAACAAGGTTTCCTCCTTTTTTATAATATCCAAAAGACAATAAACAAATGCCTAAAGAGAGGAGAGTCTTTTAAGTTCTTGAATTGTAAACCAGTGTCTGCAGTACAGAGTTTATATACAGAAGATGCATTTAAAAATGTTTTTCAATTCCTCTTTTCCCCTTTCTTCCCTTTTTTCTGATGTTGATGTTTTAATGGTTTAGGGGAAGTTTTGTTGTTGTTTCTTTTTATTGATCCTTCTACGCTAAAAGGAAATTCAGCTGGAAGGACTTTGTCATATGGATCTTGGTTTAGACTGGCTAGAGGAGACAGCCCTGCACGTCAGCCTTTTCTGTTGACAGTAATGTCTCTGGAATAAACTTGAGACACAGGAAATTCCTTAAGATGCTTTCTAAGGTAGGGGTAATTTTTTTTGACAGTGACTTTTTAGTATGAGTTACCACAATATAATCTTCATCAAGAGAATATCACAGGAGCCCTTAGGCAATAAGCTGTTTGCTAATACAGTCTTCAGAGACTGTGTCACTCCTGGGCCTATTTTTGGACAGTCAAGACCTACAGTTTCTATGTAACACCTTGGAGGCAGTGCACTGTCTTTTTCCTTTTTCTTTTATGCAGAGTAAGAGAGGGGTGAGAACAAGGAGCCACAGCATCTGGCAGAGAGGAGCTTGATTCACAGTTTTTCTTAAAAGGAAAATACATACAGATTGTAATACTGAATTTATAATGGTTTCACTTCTGACATATACTCTAATAACGTATTATAGAAAAAGAAATAAATGCATACCACACTTTTTTACCTATAAAAGCCATCCTTCAGACTCTGAGCAAAATCTCCAAAACTTAGACTTAGCAGCAATTTTTTAAGGAGGAGGAAGGACCTTGTTTCCATGAGAAAAATCTTCAGGCCAATCTACTGCAGAACATCTGTCTGCGCCTCTTAGATTGCATACGTGTCCCCGTTTTACCAAGAAGCATGGTTTTGGTTATATGAGGATATATTTTGGCGTGAACTTCAATGTGAACTTACTCAGTGCTTATATGCCTATCTCAAATATCACTCAAGGAACAAAAAACAACTTAAAGAACAAAATCCCTGGTAGGGATTTTTATGTCCTGCAACACAATGGTCTTGGTTGTGTTCCATGTGGACTCATTGCTACCAATGAGTGGGTTAGACTCTCACTCTGTACGTACAAACAGCAGGCCCCATGGATCATCAGCTAGCAGCCTTTCTGAGTCTCATATGCATGTCCCCACTGTCATCAGTGACAGGCCCTCAGACTTTATTCAGACCTTACTCAAGTAATCTTCTTTTATTTTGAATTAAGCATTTTCTTAGATTTTTCAGGCAGCAGCCCGGTGTGAAATCTGGAGAGTACCAGTTCAGACAGCAGACTGCAGAGTAAAGGGAGAGATTTCCTGAAAAATGTCAGCTTCTATCCACTCAGTGCCTCTCACAAGTCATGCTGGAATCAGGATGTCCATGAAGCAGATTGTGTTCGGAATTAGTAGCAACTGGAGAAAGTCTTAGGGAGTTTCATATCAAAGCTGGTTTATTGGTGCAAAATAATTGAGGTCCTGCTGCTACTGCAGTTGAGGTTTTTATTATTCTCACGGCCACGGTTCCATGTGCTATCCCTTGTATCTCTGTCCAGGTCTTTTACTGACCTCTTTCTTCTCCTTGTTGTAGGTTTTTATGGGCAGCTCCAGACTTTCTGCCCTCCACATTATGCTGACACTCAGAAGAATGTACAACATGGTGTTTCTTGCAATATGGTTCCTCCTTTTGAAGACTGCATAGTTCCCACGTCAGCGGGCCAGGCAGGGCTTGGCATTTTCCATCGAACGTTTTCAGCTCCTTCTGGTATTACAGGTGAATGACAGCTGGGGACTTTGTGGGTGGTTACGTACAATTTGGGGGCTTTGATGGATACGCTTGAGCTGTGTATGTGACTGGGACCTGTCATGACAGACTCGACTCTTCACAAAGAGAAGATGTTTTTCAGACCTTTATGGAGTGGTTGGCATTGGGACCGTGGGTCACCATGGGTCACAGTAACATCTGGCCCGTGTGCGACTGCGCACTGTTGAGAGCTTCTCAAGGTTCAAACCTCTGGGGGTCAGACAGTCACTATCTCATGTATCTGCTTTGAAATACAGCCTACTGAGCCCTGTGTGATATTTGTGCAGATACTCCATTCTGCTGTACGTATTGTAGCAGGGACCTGAGATGATTCAAACCACTGATTTTGCTTTGATTTTTCTCAGTCTTTAATTTAATTTATTCACATTTCCACGACAAAAACTGCCTGGGTGCACATTTCTCTCTGCGCACTTGGCTTAGTCTCTGCCCAGCTGGAAGGTACGTAAGGGGCTTGCATGCTGCTCTGGAAGGGTGAAAGTTACCCCTGTGCAGAGGATCAGCACAAGACAGTGGCCGTAATCTTAGGGCCTAAGCAAAATTGATGCCCAAGTCTTCTATTATCCTTCCACATAGGATGATTTCACTTAACATTTGTTGTGCTTTGAAATCTCTTTTACATGTTGGTCCTTCAACAGTGCATTAAAAAGCACCTGTAGCTTCAAAGGGGCATCTCACAGTATGTAACGATGTAATCCAAAAGGTGGGATTTTGTCTGCAAACAGTTGGTCTTGCGTTTACTAGTGTTGCTTCTAGAAGTTAGTAATTTCTGTGCCAGGGTCTGCTTTACAGCAAGAGTTCTATACAGCAAGAGTTCTACAATATTTTATTGCCTCTTATCATATGTTGGATATGATGAAATTCAATAAGCAAGCATGAATTTTATTTTTAAAAGTATCACAATTTTAGCACCCATTAAATGGGCAAGTGTTAGTTGCGATGAGATCTGCTGTACTCCAGACTTCATTCTGACAGAACTGAAGTTCCTCCCTTCATAAGCAGTAAGTTATGTAATTATTAATTTCATACATATGTTGGCTTGTTTGTTTTGTTTGCATATTTGGTTTAAAGCCATTTCCAGTTCTCTGTATAAGTATTGGGGCATTCTCCATGACATAGTTACCCTAGTTAATTAATTATTTTTGTATTTTTTCCAGTTTATGACTTTCCAGCGGGGTCCACAGGTATCTTTGGTGATTCAGCTCGCAGCATGCCAGAGGATAGCAGTTTCCTACAAGTAAATACAGTGGATCGTTGTTCTAGCCAGCTTTCTTCTGTCTACACTGAAGGCTAAAGTAATATGAATCTAGTTACAAGAACTTGATTCCATTTCATCTTGCCCTTCTGATACTTCGCTACAAAATTTTCCTCTCCCTGAAACTGACACGTATGTATGGGGATATGAGTTGATATACATACATAATGGAGAGGAAAAAAGCAATCACCAAGCATTCATCATATAATCAAGCAGTCAGCTGAGAAGGAGAATGTTTGGAGAAAGCAAGCTTTGCCAAAACCTTAGGAATTGTTTCTTTTCTTTTCATCTGTGGCACAGCAACTGTACTTTTTTTGTTCTTTCTTTTTTTAATTTCTCAAAGGGAATTCACAGACTGAATAAGAAAACTGCTTCTTAGCTGTAATCCTTTCAAGCTGAATGGGTGGACTTACTGAAGAACACAGCTTTAGAAAATTCCTTTTTTTAAAAAAAGGAAAAGAAGTAAAACCAGAGCATACTACAAACATTTTAAAAGCACACAGCTTTTTGCACAACCTGTTTGCATGTGATGCTTCAAAAGCTAAACACACACCAGCATCAAAAAGGGAGAGAAATTAGACATACATCCTGGCACTACCCATTAGAGGCATGGGTGTGGCTTCTTTTTGGAGCCAAATATCATTGGTACTGGATTTCTTACAGGTCTCAGTTTAGGTTTCTTTTCCTTTCCTCTATATTTTAAGCCATACAATATGGCCATTGCTATTTTTCCAATACTCCTTCTGACCCCGTGCTTTATGCAATGAATATGAAGGGTTAAATGCACTACATGAGAAGGTACATGGACTTTGTATTTAGCACAGCTGCTAGATAAGAATAAGTATGTTCTAACATTCTGTTGATTTTTAATTATATTGTAGAGCTTTATTGCTGCGTGTACTCTGTAGGAAGGTTTAAAATACCCTCTAGTAAAGATTCTTCCTTCAATTCCCCAGATCTTTTAAAAGCAATCTGTACTGATTCAATTAAATTTTTGTTGCCCTAACATTTTCATTTCCATACCACATTTTCAGGAAGAAGAGCTACTCTTAAGTTTGCTTTGTTCCCTCTGGTTATTTAGAGATGTAAACCAGAGCTGGTTTGGTTGTTTTGATTTTTCTACTCAATGTCAGGCTCTGCTTCTCGAATTTAGTCCAGGATGCAAGCAAATGAGGTTGCCCTTCATGAAAGCTACAAGGGTATGAGTTAAAAACAGTATTTTGCAGTGGAGATATGTCATCACTGTGATCCTGTATACCTTGGGAGCAAGTCTTACATTATGTAAGGCTGAGTTTTTAGGTTATTAATCCCAGTTCATCCATTTTGTGGACTTCTTACTGTGTAGTGTGCATCTTAACATTCTCATGACCTGTCTTAATAAGAAGGACAAAAATCCAAAGTTCATTCTTACAGGCTAGACCATAACTATGCTTCTGAAATCACTTGCCTAGAAAGGTGAATTTTAAAAAATGTTTATACAAACATTTTTTTATCCTGAGAAGCTTTTGACAGTTGTTGAATGCCGTTTGGGTCAAATTAATGATTTAATTTGCCATTATGTTGCATGGATGAATTTATTTTCAGATGTTTATAAACACTGGCAATCTTTCAAGGTTTACATTCATGAAATATGTTCTTGTATACAGGCATATGTGCTTATATATTTAGTGGAGAGATTTTCATCCAATAAATGCAAAGAATACATGGATATGCAAAGAATATATGGATATGCAAGGAATATACGGATGCAGATAAATTATGTACAATAAGAAGTCATACGGCTTAAATACAGATAATTCTGTACTAGATTCTTCCCCCTTTTATTCTGCTTCTCACGTCACAAGTGAATGTGTCCCTCTGCTTCAGTTTGCAATAGTAGCCCTAGTGGCTACTGTATGTGGTTTGCATCGGCTTAAATGACATCAGTCTTCCTTACACAGCTACACAGACAGGCAAAAAGACACTCCTTTCGCTTTCGTGTATGATCTGGCCAAGTGCATTGATGGTGAGTTTCGCTTTTTAATGGAGCTTTAATTCTGTGCTACCTTAAAACCCATTCTGCGGTCACTGCACATGCATAACTTGGT